GTCTTACTAAGGTTGCATTCAGACTCGTCAACAGAACTTGGTTCTTTCGATGAACTGGTGGATCCATTCGGCTCTAGGTTGGCCATCAAACATATAAGCGCTTGTTCTGAGTCAGAAGAACTGGTTTGGGAAGAACTACCACTTGATTTGCTTTCTTCCGATTGATCATCATATCATAGATGAGAGCCTTCTTTCTGGATTTCTTTTCATCTTTCTTCTAGTCATGCTTCTTCCGATCATCTCTCTTGGAGCTCCTCTTCAAGGTAAGGATGACCTTATCGAGTGTCTTCATAATCTCATTATTCACGTCATTATCTAACTTGGCGAGAATGTGGTCGTCCTTCGTCCACCCATCGTAGGGTTTATAAATAACATTCCACGTACATAACATATACTTTCAAGCTTATAAATATGCCTCTTTGCATTTTCTTTCCCATCATCAAATTCTTTCATCAGTTCGATCAGACTTCAATTCATATCACCTACCTCTGATTTATCTATTATTGTTGTTCCTTAACCAACAGACATTAAGAACTAAACACACATCCAATGAGACATTATCAGCCTAGTCTTGTTTTAGGTTTTGTTTCTGTACTTATTATTCTACTATGCATCAAACCTTATGAAGCATGCAGATCAGTTCCTGCTGACAACAATGAAAAAGAAAAGTGGGTGACAAACAATCATCTTTTTCTACCATCTCTTCAATGGAAACCGGTAACCCCTCCCAAGTCCAACGCGGCCGATCTGAGTGACAAGAACTTTGCAGCGACTGCGATGGAGAAACATGTTTTGTTACCATCTCTGTGGAGACCCGTGAGCCCTCCCAAGTCCAACCCCGGCACCAACGCGGCTCTTGCCGGAGCAAATTTGCAGCTCCCAGAGAGGAGTCATCAACTCATCTTTTGCTTCCTTCTCTGCAATGGCGGCCGGTAACCTCTCCGTCAACCAACCCCGGCCACAACGGGGCAAGCACGGTGAGTGAGCAGAATTTTGCGGCTGGAAAAATGACCACTTTTCGACCATCATCTCCTTCCTCAAAACACCATAGCCACCAGCTTCCAGAGGTGTCTCACAAGGCTGCAAGTTAATGTTGGGGAAGAATAATCTCACATTTGACGTTCCAATACTAATGCCTCGTTCATTCATTTTCCTTTTTTTTTTTTTTTTTTTTTTTTGTTGAAAATCAATTAATATAATTAATCAGCTTCTTAAGTCTTAATAACAAGTACGTAGTCTGTGACTGCATGGACAACTGTATAAGACCAACATAGTGGACTGAATAATATTAATGAAATTAATTTTGGGAGTAATGTTAAATTCAAGGTGTATCGGTTACAATTAATGAAGTATGTATCAAACGAGAATGTGTACAATTTTTGGATATGAGAATTCCTCTAATTCTCTACTAGAAGTATTAGAAGTATGCCGAATTGGGGTTGTTATACAGTGGATCAACCATGGTCCATAATGCTACGTGAACAATGGTTGTCAAATGAAACTGTAGTAGAATTAAAATGATACTTTAGTGTTGCTAAAATGAAACTAACCTTATATTCATTCTTTTGAATAATTGATCAACGAGAGGAGAGCAAAATACAGATAATCTTAATCTCAATTTTAATATATGCCATGTATATGTATGCATGTGTTTTTCGGCATTAACACATGGGAATTGGAGACCTGGGTGAAGACATGAAGCATGTATATACCAAGCACCTTTTGACACCCTCACCGGCTGGGGGTGGTAGTAAGAGGTAGGAAGGGGTAGTAAAGAAAGTGGGTGAGAAGTTGGAGACGTAGGTGAAGACATGAGGCATGCATGGACACCTGGAGGATGAATAAAGAAGACTAGCCGATATCGTACACTTGTCAACAATCCGGAAGGCCCTCAGCATTATATAACTATATAAGGCACCCTTCCCTCCTTGAAGAGGGATCATTTGAGCACGACAAACACTCTGATTTAGTGATCGATCTCTAGTCTATGCTCTCAACACAGTCACCTAAATTTGATTCTTATCGGTAGCATAGTTAACTATAGCTCATACTTTGCACCGCCATTCTGGCCCTGTATTTTGGACATAACGTCCCGAACAATAATACTACTATTTTCCTACCCCGTTCTGTACCTATATACCCGATTTATGGTTGACCCAGTCCCAATAAAACCTTCAAAATTTATAACTTATATTCTCCTCAAGTTAATTCCTTAAAGTGGAGGCATAATGCAAGCTTATTGGCCATATGTTTGTACCTGGAGTGCTTAATTCAGTGTTTAAATTGACACTTCTATCAATATTGAGCTTCCATTGAATTTGAATGTAAATATATAGTAACTTAACACATGTACAAATGTAGCAAAGAAAGTAAAGCGTGAAAGTGGAAAAATAGTGAAAATGAAATTGCAGAGATCGAGTTCTTTTGTACGAATGTTGACCAGCCATAATTGTGATTATAATAAATGTCAAAAACTCAATTGGTCAAAAAATTGAGTTTATTGAAACTCTTCTAACAGCTAAATTAACATCAGAACCAAGAATGAATTACACTTGTGACAGGGATACTATTATGATGTTAATGGAAGTCCTTTACTGAGATCTCAATTGTGAAACCAAATGACCTTATAAGATAGATTTACAGAGATTTTGAGCACACAAGTAACTATGAAGTAGCAAAATATGATGCATAAAAATGCTCTAACTTAGCATAAACTCCAGAAAATAAAACGTCAAAATGAAGTATAGTGTGTAAATTCCTAGGAAAAAACCTATCCATAGGTACTTACATAAATCATTATATGCTAATACTTTAGAACTGCATAGGACGGACTATTTGGCATCATTCAAAGACACCCTTTTAGGTATAATGTTTGGCACAAAATGTTTCATATCTAATCAACCCCACCAAGCATTATACCAAACACTGCAAAAAACATTAGAATTTGTGAGTTAGTGTTGATCAGACACAAGACTTTGTATCTTGTAAATGCAACAGGGACAGATACATTTATTTACTCAATGCATTTTCTCCGTAAACAACTTGATGCAATATAACACCACGTAAACCTCTATAAAACAATACATACCGGGGTTCATCAAGAATAATAATGGCCCCATTGATATCCATGAACAGTGCTGCAAAGTACGAACATCCTGAAAAACAAAATGCAGACTATTGGTAAAAAAAATTTAAGTACCAAACTATAAAAGAAGAAAGAGTACCTCCTTTCAGGAATAAGCTTTGACCTTATGAGCATTTTTGTCAGGAAACAAAGATACCTGTGTACTCATGTTTTCATCTATAGGAGAATAGTAAAGTAGCAATACATATATGGATAAGTATAACTGACTCACTTGAACTCACAGCAACCAGTTTCTTTATGCTTTAGTAACAACTTGTTGGGATTTTCAACCATACATGTAAGCAAACAAAAGAGAACCAAAAAAACTTATAAAAAGAAAAAAAAAAAAAAAAAAAAAAAGGGCTTTTGCCATTACAAATGTCAACATTTTCATTGATTCAGTTGATCTGCCAAGGTTGTTCAAAGTGCACCACAATATTCACTTTGTCCATCGTAAGCTTTCTCAATCTTTCTAAAAATATTTTTCTTAGGATGTATGTAAACCCCTCCCAATTTGGGGTTACAAACTTTGGGACATCCCTAGGCTTTGGTCCGAATGGAGTCTTGATAAGGTCTTCCAATACCAAAGCATAACCTTCGATTCTCATTGAAATCATAAGGTCTGAGACTATACGCATTCATTGAATTGCAACACATCGAGCTCCAGTTGTCAAATATCCATTCAAAGTCACCTCATTGACCATTATCTCAGTTAAAACCCCAATGTCCTCCTTTAGAAAAAGGAATCCATTGACTCCATATTTAACCTGGCTCAAAAATCAAAATCAAAATCATGAAAAAATTTTCTTTCTTTTGAATCACAAATTAAATTAAAAAAAGACACTTACATATTCATTAATAATTGACAGGTCTGGAGCTACTATAGGTTTCTCAAAACGCATTGCTTTTAGTAGAGTGTACGGGAAAGACGGCTCTTCGTGGAATGATGCATATATGACAACATTACTCAATCTCAAAATATTCTCCAACATACAAGTGGAGTAGTGATGCATGTTGGTTCAAGTGGAGATGACGAGATATGCATCACCACTCCACTTGTATGTTGGAGAATATTTTGAGATTGAGTAATGTTGTCATATATGCATCATTCCACGAAGAGCCGTCTTTCCCGTACACTCTACTAAAAGCAATGCGTTTTGAGAAACCTATAGTAGCTCCAGACCTTTCAATTATCAAGGAATATGTAAGTGTCTTTTTTAATTTAATTTGTTATTCAAAAGAAACAAAAAAGTTCATGATTTTGATTTTGATTTTTGAGCCAGGTTAAACATGGAGTCAATGGATTCCTTTTTCCAAAAGAGGACATTAAAGTTTTAACTGAGATAATGGTCCATGAGGTGGTTTTGAATGGATATTTGACAATCTAAGCTGAATGTGTTGCAATTCAAGGAATGCATATAACCTCAAAACTTATGATTTCATGAGTATCGCAGACTATACTTTGATTTTGAAAGACTTTATCAAGAGTCAAGACTAGGGGTGTAAACAAATTAAATAAAAAAAATTTCATTCGTGATTCGAATTCGAATATGTTGATTCAAATTCGAATATTTCGAATACGAATCCGAATACTTTTTTCGATTCGAATATTTTTCGAATACGAATATAAATTAGAGTCCATTCGATTCGAATAGTATTCGAATAAATTGGTCGAATCAAATACGAATCAAATTTGAGATTCAAATATTAAACGAATACGAATACGATTATATTTGAATATATAGTCAAATTCGAATCGAATAGTGAGATATTTGACTCGATTCGATTCGTTTACACCCCTAATCAAGACTCCAGCTGGACCAACAAAGCCTAAGAATGTCCCTATGTTTGTAGGGGAAAAGCCAAATTGGGAGGGGTTTTTCCTAGAAAAACAGGAAAAACACTTTTTTTTAAGAAAGATTGAGAAAACTTATACAAAGTGATGTTAAAACAAAACTTCCAAAGCCTCTGATTGACCAAATGGGAAAGAGTGTTGACAAAATAGGGATGCAAAGCCTATGACGGATCCTAGCCAATAACAAGATGGATCCTATCTTTTAAAAGAATTGATAATAGCTAGCTAGTATTCTAGTTGTTTCTTACTTACCAATTCAGTATATCCATAGCTTCAAATGAATTCAGAAACACAGCATCGTACCTGCAAACATACAGCAAACACACAAGTAAACCATTAAAACATATATATAAATCAATTAGATGTAATATATATATCAAGCAGCTAGCGCAGATTTTTTCTCAAGTAGTCAGTCTAAAATTAAAATCACAGAAGAATGATGAATGTTTTTCATTTCTGCAATGGTAATTATGGTATGGTGCTGAATCCCGAAAGAAAAAAAAAATAAAACTCAAATTAAAGACATACTTTAGCCAATCTACATAGGTTTCTATAATTCTGACAGAAAAACCATAGTGTCTCTCCATACACAATGCATAGGACCATCTTCAAGTGTGAGCACCTAGAAAGAATATTAGATTAGAGATAAAAAAAAAAAAATGTTAAGTGTATATTTCACACACTTGGAAAGGTAAAACTAATGTAGTGTATATTTCACACACTTGCTGTACAAAAGAACTACTGCCTATGTATACACAGAGACACAGAAATGCTAGCACAGAATTCAAATAAAGAAAAATTCTAGGCTAGGAGAGGAGCTCTATCGGCATCCCCATTCCTCTTCTAACACAATATAATGTTAAGACCAATACCAATCAATATCCTCGATTTCATACAGATAGATAGATAGTTAGAAGGAAATGAAGTTGAGTTTTATAAAGAAACATGAATGTGGTAGTTTGGGTGATAAACACCACTGCATATTAAAAAAAAAAAAAAAAAAAAAAAACACCACTGCATATTCTTCAATCAATAATTTCTCTAGTACTACTTTACTCTAAATACATCTACAGCCTAAATAAAAACAAGATCTACAATAAGTTGATACAGATAACAAATTTAGATCTATCTATCCACACATATACATCCATAAATCCAACCAGAGATACCAACAACACAGCTAAATACATATAGAAATCTTCAGCTTTAGTAAAGACTTACCCTGGAACGAGGATAACTTGCAAGGCCTCTGGAAGACCTTCATGAGGGTAAGAGTACGTATTGACATCTCAAGAGGAAGATGAGGATTAAGCCCAGTAGCGGCGAAGCTTTCTACGTGGAATTTAAGTCTGTTTCCTTTGTGGTTTAATCGGGCACAGCGAGTGGAGTGGTTTTGTAGTAAGCAGCTGGGGCAAATTAAAAATGGGTGTTGAAAGAAAGTGGAAACTGGTGAAACTCCTTTCCCTCACACCAACCAATATGAGGGACAGGATGGAGTTTCGGGAAAGCCGGCAGAGGAGCCGAGGAGGGCTTTAATCCAGCAGGCTTCAATAAGCCTGGTAGCGTGCAGGAGGCACCAACATTTAATGGAAAGCAAAAGGATCAAAGAAAAATACTTGGTCTACTCCCATTTTAAACTTCCAACTTGTACTCCCTCTCACATGCTCTTGTTATAGACATTTTTCTGTGGATCCACATGATAAAAATAACCAATTCTGCTTTGCCACCTCAGGGAGTATAAATGAGGGAGTAGAATTTTGGAAATCTATATAATAGAACTCGCTTATTAATGCTGCGTCAGAGTCGGATTCCCCCCATTTTTCTTACTACTAATTGTCTCCAACTATTATTAATTTAACAAAGGGAAAATGACACTTTTTCCCCTATGTTACATACTTATAGCATTTTTTTCCTTTGAATTATTAATATAAACACATTATTCTACTCAATTATTTTAAAAGTGACAGTTTTCCCTCTGATATATTAAATTGACATTTCTACGATTAAAATAAACATTTTATTTATTTTTCTTCTCCAACAAATTATTCTTCCAAAAGGCTGAACCCCAACCCCTAAGGGCCTTCTCCAACAAATTATTGCGTATACGTAGAGATGACCACGATTCGATTCGAATTGAACCGGACACTATAGCAATCAAATTAAAAGTTTCCGATTATGATTCAGATCCAGAACCCAATATTTGGATTTCAGTTATTTAAATTATGAATCGAAAAAATTGGATCCTGAACCGTGAACCTGCGGTTCCGGATCCAGTTCGCGGTTTTGAACCGTCTTTATTTTAAAATTTTATTTTTATTATTTTAAAATAGTCTAAATTCAACAATAAATGAATTTTATTTTTTCCAGTTCGGAATATGAACCGGCCGTCCTGATTCGCGATTTTAATAAACTCTTAATATCGGGTTTCAATTATAAATTGTCATTAAAATATTTCGGTTTGGTTGTTATAGTGTCTGTTTGGTTAGAACCAAATTGTTGTCATAATTTGTTGGAGAAGAAAAATAAATGAAATATTTATTTTAAGGGTAAATATGTCCATTTAATATTTCAGAGGGAAAAAAGGCCACTTAAATAATTCAGGGGGGAAAAGTGCTATAAGTATATAACTCAGGGAGGGAAAATGTCATTTTCCCTTTAACAAATTTACCAATTAGCAAAGAAAGTAATGTGTGTGAAAACAGAAAAACATACTTTAGTTCTTGAACTCAGAATTAGTTTTATTAAACATGTAAGTGTTACTATACAATGTAATATTTAATATTTTTAAAAGTTTAATTATGCTATTATTATGTTAATTTTAAAGTTTATTGTTACTTGTATTATTATTTGAATTTGAATTTTAAATAACTACTTTAATTATATAACGCACATATTTAAATAAAACTTGTAAATAAAATAACAGGCAATATTTGTCGAAAATCTCTAACAAAAACTTATTCATTTGAAAAAGATTATTTATGTAAGAACTATATTTATTTTATATCTAATTTCTCCTCTTTATATATGTGGAGTCAAATTAATTATAATTGAGGTTTAAATGAATATATACACAAATTATATTAAATATAAAACGTTACCAAAAAATTTGAACACAATAAACTTTTTTCCATACTTCATTATGCTTTAATATATATAGAGATAGGGTTAGAGCTATAATAATAAAGTATAATTTATAAAATATAAATACACATAATAACTTAAAAAAAAATATGTATAAATACATCTACCCACATAATTAATGTATTCATACTTGCTAATCTTGTTTCTATCAAAATGCATTCACACTTTGGAGGGAAAATTTGTTGACTAGATTCTGCTTTTTATTATATATATATATATATATATATATATATATATATATATATATATATATATATATATATATATATATAAAGAATAAAGAATTAAAGATAAATATATATAAAGATATAAAGATGGATCGTCTACTATAGAGCAAAGGAAGAGGCAATCGTTATACCCTGCACCACGGTGCGCCTCCCAAAACGATGTCATTTTGAGAGGCGCGGTAGGGAGTTGACGTGATTATGTGTATTTATTTATACAATTATGTGTAATTTTTATTATGTACATTTTTTTTATACAATTATGTACATCCGAATTAGGAAATTTTTGTGTATTATGTTAAGAGAGGGGCGGCCATTAATGGTGTCTACTACGGACCCCTCTCGAGTTAGCCCACAATAAATTCCACAGAACTGTTACGTGTGACTTAGTGGAACTATCGTCTTGGCCATTCGTCCAGTAAGGTGTTACATCTGGTGTTGCAACACTGCAATGTTCTCATATCTTTATCCGATTGGGGCGGGTGCAACACTGCTGGTCACTCGACTACGACGTACTTGGTGTATCTAGGCGATCCGATAACCTTATTTCTTGGAAATCCTCATGGCAAAAGTCTTTTTCTCGCTCATCAAAAGAAGCTGAGTACCGAGCCTTGGCTAATGCAGCAGCAGAGGTCTTCTGAATTAAGAATCCGCTACAAGAGCTCAAGTTAAGTCTAGTACAACCTCCGGTTCTACTTTGTGATAACCTCAGCGGCACCTACATTTGTAAAAATCCGGTGTTTCACTCACATATGAAACACTTGGCCATGGACTACTTTTTTGTTCGTGATTTGGTTACTAGTGGTGCGCTAGTTGTTTGACACATTCCGTCCTCTGCCAACTAGCCAATTTTCTCACCAAGCCGCAAGGACGTCACCTATTTCTTCATTTTTGGTCGAAGATTGGAGTCTCCGATGGATCCTCAATCTTTCGGGGGTGTGTTAAGGATATATGTGGCTGACATGTTTTGTCTCTGTATTTGTTTTAATTATGCTCCTAATATGTGTTAGAATAGTTGTTACAACTCCCGGCTACTTATTCTCATTTGTATTTTATTTATAGCTGGCTGTTTTACATCAATAAATGTTCAGTTCATTCCCTCACACGGGCAATCGTTATGCCCTGGAACCGTGTTCACCATGGATGGTGAACACGGTCCCAACGGTGTTAGTGCACCGTTATTTTTTTTCCTTAATTAATCGCGTGACTTTTTTTCTTCATTTTCACATTTCGCGGTTTCACTTTAATTTGAGGTGAGCAATGATTTCGGACATTCATAAATTATGAAACCATGCATGTACATTCACTTTGGAACCATGCCTACACATTCCCGTCCGAAACCATGCATGCACATTCACTTTGGAACCATGCCTACACATTCCCATCCGAAACCATGGCTGCTCCTCAATAGCGCAAGCTTCTTCAACATTCATAAATTATGAATTTTCTGTTATGAGATTATGAATTTTCTGTTATGAGATTATGAATTTACAGTAAATTCATAATCTCATAACAGAAAATTCAAAATTTAATAAATGTTTTTCTTTTATGCGATTATGAATTTTCTGTTATGAGATTATGAATTTACAGTACATTCATAATCTCATAACAGAAAATTCATAATCTGACCAAACGCGTGCTGTTAACACCACATTAACGATTTTTTTTTTATACGTAAAAACGGCGCCGTTTGGACCCGTGTTCACCATGAATGGTGAACACGTTTCCCGGGCATAATTTGCCTCACACGGGTTACCTCCTTTCGAAGCCCTTTCTTCCTTATACTTCCTACCGAATTTGCTTCTTTCTAGTCATCTAGTTTATGCATCAATTCAAGATAACTATCATCGACCCAAAAATTAGCCTTTGAGCAAGCTTACCGATGCTCTAGTCGCTTCCAAAAACGTTCAATTTCTTTAAGAAAAAAAAAATTAAAGTGATAGAAAATGAACGAAAAGAATTCCTGATGACCTTTTATTTTTAACCAAATAGAACAAGAAAAATACTTTTTTCCAAAAATAAACTTTGTTGGAAAATATACATATTGACTTCATTTTTACAGTTGAGTTTGTTCCTTAACGAGTAGCTAACCGGCCTGACCCATTCAAGTTCAAAGTACAATTCACGGTCAACCTTTTCTACTCTTCCATCAAAGTCATCATCTCATTCCACGTACATAACATATACTTTCAAGCTTATAAATATGCCTCTTTGCATTTTCTTTCCCATCATCAAATTCTTTCATTAGTTCATCAGACTTCAATTCATATCATCTACCTCTGATCTATCTGTTATTGTTGTTCCTTAACCAACAGACATTAAGAACTAAACATACATCCAATGAGACATTATCACACTCATCAACTCATCTTTTGCTTCCTTCTCTGCAATGGCGGCCGGTAACCTCTCCCTCAACCAACCCCGGCCATAACGGGGCAAGCACGGTGAGTGAGCAGAACTTTGCGGCTGGAAAAATGACCACTTTTCGGCCATCATCTCCTTCTTCAAAACACCATAGCCACCGGCTTCCGGAGGTGTCTCACAAGGCTGCAAGTTAATGTTAGCGGAAGAATAATCTCACATAATACTAACGCCTCATTAATTCATTTCTTCATTCTTTTTTCTTATTTTCCAAATTCTTTTTGATGAAAATCAATGAATTAATCAGCTTTTTAATTCTTAACAACATGTACGTAGTCTGATCTGTGACTGCATGGGCAACTGTATAAGACCAACATAGTCGACTGAATAATATTAAATGAATTATTTTTTGAAGTGATGTATCATATTATATATGTTTAACTCTTTTGTCTCTTTCCGTTTGTTATTTGATTAGATTTTATGTTGGTACAATCACCAAGTATTTGATTTCCGATTTTGATTCCCATGTGCCAACCAAACACACTTTATTTCTTTAAATATTTATTATTTTGAATTGTATGCATACCAACATTATTTTTAAGTTTGATATTCTTTTTAATTGATATTATGAAATGAGTAAATAGACACATTAAGTATGATTGAAAGAACAATTAAGCAATCAAATTTTATAAAGTTCAAATTAAATGATTCAACTTAGTGAAATTTTACAATCAAATTCTTTTTACGAGTAG